CCACGTTGCGGTCCTTGACGAGTGTGAAATGTAGGTGCCGGTTGAAGTTCTTTTTCAGCTCGGCCACGTTCTCCACGCCAGCCAGGCCACGCACGCTGATTTGCTTTCTCTTCTCATGGTCCGACAGGGGCCGGGACATGGCTGCAGAGGGTGGGCCGGACAGACGGACAAGTGGACACTACCTTGGTGGTGCCTCCAGCCAGGGAGTGGAACTCTCCAGCCGCAAGGGGATTTAAAGCCTGGCTCCCAGCAGCATGCCCCGCCTTCCCTCACGATGGGAGGGTCTTGGCCTGGCAGCTCAGGCAGCTATTTTGGGGTGAGGGGAGGGGAGGAGGAACGAGCTCTGCCAGGCCCAACCCGGCTTGTTCACAGTCTGTACTGACCCACTTCCTCCAGGCCTTGTACATAGGTCTTCTGTCTTGTCTCTTGTCCCTGTCCTTTTGCAGGGTTGGAGACAGGATGCAGCAGGCAAAGTGCTGGATTGGGAGGCCTGATTAGTGCCGATCAGCCATGTGACTTTGGCTAGGGCTTTCCCCAGTCTGTGCCCTTTTCCTGGGTGATAGATGAAGGGAGGGACTGGGTGCTTGATCAGTGCTCCTTAGAGAGTAAGGGGCTGTCAAGGGGGACAGGTGTTAAGGGGGCAGGAGGTCCAGCCCCAGAGGTCTAGACTCACTTGCCCTTCATCAGAGCTGCTTGGCTTGTAGACATTTACCTGGAGAGACTGCAAAGCACAGGCTGGATGGGCTCTGTCCAGCTCACCATGGCAGCCCTTCAGTGGACTGGGGAGGCTGCATGTCGTGGCAAGAAGGGCCGGGACCCCCTGCAGGCTGAGGTTCAATGTGCTCTGGACAGAAGAGATGCAGCTAGCAGGGAGGACACTGGGCATCTGTGAGAAGGGGGACCAGGACCCTAGGTTCCAGAGGATAGCGTGGGGAGGTTGCTTGAGGCAGGGCCACTGCCCTCACACCACCCCCACCAAAGCCAGGCCTTTCTGAGCTTCCCCTGTTGCTGTCCCTCAAGGAGCTCTGAAGTGACCTTTTGGAGAAGGATAGTCAGATTACAGGCCAGCTCTAGATAGAGGCCTCCCACCTGGAGCCAGGGCCCCTGGGAACTGTAGTCCTGTGAGCCACAGGGGTGGCAGAATCGGAAGCATTCCCCACCAACTCATAACATCAGTGAGTGGCGATGCAGTCTCCCTGTGACCCAGCTGCTAGGTAAGTGACTGGAGGCCTTCTCACTCCCTCCTCCCACCTGGGGCCACACACCGGGCAGGGATTCAAGGGGTCAGGGTTCCAGCTGTGACCTCACTTGGAAAATGGGAGCTGAAGCTGCGCCTCAGGAATTTTGCATCACCATCCGCACAGCCTAGCAGCTTCAGGCCCTTCCTTTTGAGGCTTTGGCTGCCCACCATTCACTGCTCGTGTCCTGGCCCCAGCACTGACTTGCTGTGTGAACTTCATCTGGTTGCTTTCTCTTTCTGAGCCTTGCATTCCTTCCTCAAATTTATACTTGAATGAGACTATAAATCCCTGCCTTATCCAGAAGCTGCCTCCTGATCTTGTGGGGGCAGACTCTGGATCCTGCTTTGTTCTTTGAGAGAAAGGAAACCAGGACTTTGTGCTATTTCAAAGGCTGCCTGGGCCCCCCAGGGTGGTGGGCCGGTTGAAGTGAAGAATTGGGTGTTCTGTTCTGAGGGCCAAGGAAGCAGGTCAGAGGCCTGGGCAGCTGCAGGATGCTATTGAGAGCCTGGTTCAGGGAAGGCCAAGCTGTTTCCGAGCCACTGCAGACCCAGCCCTGGAATTACAAGTTCAGTGTAATGGCCAAGCTGCAAGTCCTACCCAGGACTGATTGCCAAGCCCTGCCTTACCCCTGCCCCCAAGCGGTACTCCCCCACCGCTCTCCCATAGCTCCATGTGTCCAAGTAGAGAAAAAAGACCGGGAAGAACACACCAAAATGTGCCTCCATGGATGTAGTGGGGATGTGGAAATTCTTTTCTTACATTTTTCTGTATTTTCCAACTTTTTTCTGTTTTGGCAGCTGGCCAGCATGAGGATCTGAACTCTTGACTTTGGTGTTATCAACACCATGCTTTAACCCAGTGAGGTAACTGGCCAACCCTCTTTTTTCGTCTTCTATATATCATATTTCAAAGAGGAATAGGGGCCAGCCCGTGGCTCACTCGGGAGAGTGCGGTGCTGATAGCACCAGGGCCACGGATTCGGATCCCATATAGGGATGGCCGGTTTGCTCACTGGGTGAGCGTGGTGCTGACAACACCAAGTCAAGGGTTAAGATCCCCTTACCGAGGCCGAGCCCATGGCGCACTCAGGAGAGTGCGGCACTGGGAGCGCAGCAGCGCTCCCGCTGCGGGTTCGGATCCTATATAGGGATGGCCACCGGCGGCTGAGCGCGGTGCGGAATAGGATTGAGGGGAAAAAAGAATGCTCGGCGGCTCTCTGGTCTCTTCGGTGCACAGCTGCATCCTCAGCCCATGCTCCTGGGCTGTACCCTATCCTCCACCCAGTACCTATCTCTGGCTTGGCCCTGCATCTAAGGTTCCCCCAAGTCCCTTGGCGGGTTGCTGTGAGTTGAGCTCCTTGGCAGTCACTGCTAGACAAGTGGTAAGCTCACTAACCATGCTGTCACCTAACATCCCAATCCTGGCAGCATGCTTTGGCCACACAACCCTTCCTTACACTGACTCCTACAGCCTGAAGACCTTACCTTCCTGCCGCTAAGGACCTGGTCCCAATTGACCATCCCCAGCTTCTCATCCAGTCCTTTCCAGCTGCTGGCCACAAGGCCGCCTATTCCTCCTGCACTCAAGGTAGTGTCTGCACTGTCTGCACTCTCCCGGGACATTTTTAGTGGGCCACACACATGCTTCTGACTTGTTTTTCCAACTACTTTTCTTGTGGTTTCTTTCAATCTGTCTTGCCAGCGGCCCCCACCCAAACTATTTCCAGGCTCTTTTCCCGGGAGTGACACCCCCACAGGGGCCCCTCCTTTATTTTGCATACCCAAGCTCAGTGTACTCAGAAGATGGAGACTCAGACTCACCTTCTTTCATTTCCTCCTCCCTCCTTCACCCCCATCCCTGTGTTGTGTGCACACTCACTTTAACAAACCCTGAGACCACACTTTTAAACATGAACTCTAACTCAAGGTCTATGTCCAACTAAATTTCTAACCAGAAACCCAGCCTCCTTCCCTGGACCAATCTTGGGTTTTTCCAGAGCACTTGGCTGGGTCTCAGTAACAGAGCCCTAAGGCTAACCTTTCCCCAATGGAACTTCTCTCTCACCAGGCAGAGGGGGTGGTGACACTGCTGTAGCAGCAGAAACTGTAGCAGGGCCATCACAACAGGACACAGCAGAGGGCATTTTCCCTGCCCTAGGCATCTTAAAACAAGTGAGCAACTGGAACTTCTCTCTCACCAGGCAGAGGGGGTGGTGACACTGCTGTAGCAGCAGAAACTGTAGCAGGGCCGTCACAACAGGACACAGCAGAGGGCATTTTCCCTGCCCTAGGCATCTTAAAACAAGTGAGCAAGTGTTTCCCATCTCTCCCTGATTCTGCCACAAAAGGCAGGTGCGTGCTGCGGTTCTGAGGGCCAAACCTCCCTGCTCTCTCTTCCATTTCAGGGCCTCCAGCACCTTGGAGACTGATGCCTTTGTCAGCCACTTTGGTACTCTCTGAAACCTTAACAAAGGCTGACGGCAGGGAGCAGAGAGGGAGTGAACACAGGAATGGAGCTGGCCCCAGGGGACAGAGACAGAGGAGATAGCTGAGCTGTGGTTAAGTCATTTATTGATTTTATTTCTAAAACCCACATAAGCGCCACTTTGCCGCTTCCACAGCTTCAAAGAGCTAATTAATCGCCCTATGAGCCCACCAGGGAAACCGAGCTTGTGGGGTAAGCAATGAGGTGAAGCCAAGGTCGAGGAGGATAGCCAGGCCCCAGGCCCTGCCCCCATTCTGTCAGTTAAGGACAGGGAAGAGATCTTCCCCTAAGTCAACGGAAGTTTAAAAGTTGGTTAGGGAAACCGCCCAAACCTGCCTTGCTTCCGAGGATTCCTCAACCCTACAGGCCCAATAGCAAATTTAGTACAGGCATCCCAGATGCGGCCCAGACACCCCAGCTCCACTCCAAGTAAATGACAAGAGCCAGCCTCAGTCCAGCTTAAAACTGGAAAGCAGCTCAGGCCACTTGTCATCCCCAATGGCCAGGTGGCGAAGTCAGCAGGAGCCTGCAGTGCCTTGGCCTCCCTAAAGGCAAGGCAGCTGGGGAAGCAGGACAGCTCTATGCGCCTCTCCCCAGGAACTGGGCAAGCACCTCACCACCTTATGGAGATTGCACCCAAATTTTTCTGGTGCCACAATGGGTACTATCCACTGCCCAAAACATGAAAAAAGACAGCCTAAGACCCTTTGCAAAGAAGTGCTCACAAAGCAGAAGTTTGGGCACTTTATCTTGCCCCCAGCACTCCCCAAAGCCTGCAGTGCTGGCAGGCTGCAAGTCACCAGCAGAGAAAGAAAAAAGCCACTTGGCGGTTTTAATTTTAGCTGCTGTGCCTGATGGGCTGGATTAGTTGGCTTGACCTTTAGTGTTGATATCTCCCCAGGCCCAGGGCCTTAGTCAGGTGGCAGCTGCCAGGCACAAATCACAACTGGAGCTCATCAAATGTGGGGGTCCAAAGCCCAGGGAAAGGCCTTCAAAAGGACAGACTAGACATGAGGGGTAACCTAAGGAGGGGGAGAATGTGGTTCTTGGCTATATTAACTAGTAAACAAGGGAGACAGTGGAGCCACCCACACACTCAGCTTCAACCACCAAAGCCACATGCAGGGAGGCAGGTGGTAGGCTTCCTTAATTAATGTCCCACAGTTTCACCCTGGGACAAAGGGGAGGACTGGGGCCAGGTGCTGAACACAGGCAAGGTAACTTTGTTGTGGTGGTGGTTGAGGAGATTTAAGAGAAAGAAAATAAAAACACCCAGAAAACCACACTGCTCTTTTATTCAATGGAACATCCCCCCTTTAGTGCAGTGTTGAATCAAACACCGAAAAAAAAAGGCCAGAGAAATTTCTGCAGATAAACCAGTGAAGAGAACGCGCATTATACATTATTGTCAACATAATCACTCCATGAAGGGCAGGAAGGGGAAGAAGCAGAATGGAAAACAAGGGGCTCAAGCCCCTAGACACTGCAAAACATTCAGACATTTGGGATTAAAATAAAATGTTAACGTAAACCTTCCAGGAAGGGGAGGAGCAAATGGAGTCTGAGGCAGCCTAGGCTGTCGGGAGCACAAAGGGCTCCAGGCCGGCAGATATGCCCAAAGCGGTTCAGGCTGTCCCCCTCACTGCTGGCAGGTGGGCCATGGTGGACACGGAGCACAGAACCTGGAGATGAACCCACACTCAGTGACTTTACAAGACTCTCTTGACAAGGGTGACAGACAGAAAACTCCACACTTAAAAAAACCAAATATCTTTGGGGGTGGCTGTGAAACCTTGAAAAACGTAGAACCAAGGGAACCCCCTGCTAGCCTGACATTAATGGCCAAAGCCTGTGCCTAAAACCATTTGCTCCCCTCTCCTTGGCAAGGGGATGAGGAATGGAGAGAAGGGGAAGGAATCTAATTGCAGCAGAAGACCGGGGAGAGCATCTCCTTGGACGGAGTCTGAAGAAAGGAAGAGATAAGGAAATAACAAAGGAAAAAGAAAAAAATTAATAAAAATTTCACGATATGGAGCCAGCGTGTTCAGATTCCGTCCACAAAAATAACTCAGGCTGCTTTGCCGAACCATCCTGTCCACCAGGGGCGCTGCTGAGGCTGTCTGCCTGGAAGGGTCACCAATGGGCGCGGAAAGTCCTCACTCTCATGGCTCGGGCCATCGCCGCCGCTGGGAGAGATCCTGGCGGCCCAGTTTTGGGAGAGGCAAAGGGAGTTGGGTGAGGAGAGAAAGAAGACAAAGACACTCGATGCTACGGGGCGCCAGGAGAGCCCAAGCTGGCGCCCCTACTACCACCTGCCCGTTCCCCAGCGAGTCCTCAGTCGCTGGGCCCAGCCCGGTGCGTGCACACACACACATGCGTGCACACACAATCACATGCGTGCGTCCCAATGTCTGGCTCCATATGGTGAGGTTCGGCATGTTTAAACGAGACCAATTCTCTCTATATATAATATATATTTTCTTAAAAAATGAGTCTAGTTCTGTGGTGGAGGCGGTGGGGGAGCTGGAGGCATCCCGAAGGGCGGCATGCCCGCCACCCCCATGCCCATCATGGTGACAAAGTTAGAAGGGTCCATGGGAGGCGGAGGAGGGGGGGGCGGGGCATACATCATGCCGGCGGAACCAGGTGGCGGAGGCGGCGGAGGGGGGGGGGCCCCGGGCGGCAGAGGCGGCTGGACCCCGGGG